CGAACTAAGTCGTGGGGTTTAGCAGTGGTTTATCTAACCACAAGAGTAGTTCGACCAGTCGTATGGAAGAGAATAGTAAATCCGGAAACCGCAGCCCATGCTGGGCATTTTTGTGGTGTTGCGCTGAAATCGCGGCAAATATCTTCGCAAGTACCAAATTCAAGACACACGGCATCAAACATGGCCAACTTTCGAGGTTCACATTAAGTATATTTTACTCGTCTTTGCTCTGAATACTCCAATAAAAACCATAAGTTTCGCGGTTTGTGATCTCCATGATGAATTAATTTCCCGCAACTATGGGAATTTTCGTATTTACAATTTTCTCAAATCATTCATTGAACATGGCGGGTATATCTTGTCAGGTCGAGCGGTCTTTAACTCCATTCTTTTTTTAGAACGGCAATACACACGTAAATGCAAATTTGAAAATGCTATACGACAGAGCGCTACCAGTCGTTTCGTATCCGCGGACGATTTATACCCACATGTCAGTTTCGTAGTTAATAAGGTACGTTTTCCAGGTTAATAAGGTTGAAATAAGGTAAGTTTTTATAATTGTCGATAACGAAGAGAAAACATCATAATTACCTTACGTACACACTATTTAGTTATTATTCATGAGAAATTCACAAGTATACAATAGTGTGTTTTTATTCAAGTTATGACACTTACTTGGCATCAGGGAATAATTTGATTGTTAACCTGTTCGCTGTATGCTTCTGAGTTTATCACCATATATCATTACGGTACCAATATTACCACTTTTTTTTTAACAGTCTTGTCTAACTAATGTGAATCACTCGTACCTACTCAAACATAATCGTTTATAATCGTAACGGTGGCCAATTTACCATTTCAACTTTGTTCATATATTCAAATTATTTCGTTACCCCCACCGACGCAGCCCCAAACACTTTCTTTAGAAACTATCAGCCTTAACCCTTCACACCCTAATTTCAGCCGTATATTCTCCATACTGTTCTCTACACATTTCCTTGGGAGTGGACAAGGAGAATTTGTTGAACAATCAAGAGCTTCGTTAGTTGTTGATCATTTCCTTTAATCTAGTGACTTTAATGTGTGATTCAGAGGTGATATTGTAAGGAGAATTTAGATGCTAATCATTCTTAGGAGTCAAAAGGTTAACATGCACACTAAGCACTTTTAACCAGGAGACAATTTGTCTCAGCTCTTTGAGTCTTAATAAACTGACTGAAAGAGTGAAATTCTCCATTTGTGATTGAATGGCTTCACAGGATCAAAGCTCTGTATCAAAATATACTTACCAACAACAATCACTTTAACTGCTTGGCCTCTAACAGGATCCTCGACTTTATTATCAGCTACGCAGCTGTATGTTCCAGAATCAGTGACATTAATGTTTGTAAAATCCCAAGTGGGTCCATAGTGCTTTATTTCAGTGCTAACACCAGTAGGGACTCTGGTCCAGGTAATATTTGGTGCTGGCCTACCAGTTACCTTACAGAACAAGTGGAGGTCTCCCCCTTTAGGTACTACTTGGTCACCTCTTACTTGATCAGTTATCTTCACTGGAGCTACAAAGACAACAAAACCAATGGCATAATATTTTTCCTTTTTTCTTAATAGATATCTTGTGTACATAAATACCTTTCTGATGCTGTTGAATCTATACAAAGAAGAGCTTTCAGAATAATATTTCCAAATGCTAGTTATCAACAAGCCCTAGATCAAGCCATTTGACATTGTTATTAGATTGCAGGACATTTATATGTAAAAGGTTGATAGCAGATATGAGGAATGAGAGCTACCCTATATCCTTCTTAGCTCTGCAACTTATGACAAGATCTATCCCATATCAGTTAAGATCAGGAAATACTAGCCACTACAACAACAAAAAGGACAAAGAGAGCAAAATAATGACTTTTTCATTTTTAGGTTCTTATGATTCCAATTAATATTGTGATACTTATTAGTACTGTAAACAGATTTAATTATTAGTATCTAATTTTATAAATTGCACTATTTCTTCAGTTTTTAACTGCCAGATGGTCAATATTTTGGGGAGCACTTTTCCAAATGTCTGCATGCTCATACTTGGTAATGATAAACTATCATATTAATGGGATTTGTAACTCCAATATTAGAATTTTGGCTTCTAGTTTTGGAAATCCAACAGCTTCATCTATGCATCATGTCCAGGCAGGAGCAACACATGAAAGCAGCACAAACAAAACAAACCATTCAAGTCAACCATTATGGCCAACAACAACAAAAGTAATGAGAGGGAAGGTTTACATTCTCCATATTTTTGCAGTGTTCTTATAAGTGTGATATTGCAATGTTTTCTTACTTGGAACTGGTCAGCTCAGACAAACCACCACAAACTATATATTATTAATCCAAGCTTTAAAAATTATGTGATCTAAAAGAAATGGATTTATAATGTGAAATAAAAAAGAAATGCAAATCAAGTCTTTATCTTGTAGCAAATTCAGAAAACTGATTGGAATGTACTTACTTATGTGGCAGGTAGTTAAAACAGATCTCTCTTTAGAGATTAGCAGATTCAGTAAGCAGATTTTTTAACAAACTATGAAAATGCCTTCTCTCTCTAAATTCTTCTAAGAAATTTTCAAAACTGTTGTTAAATCTGTCCCTTACACATTAAAGAGCTCAAATTTCTTGTTTTGAATTGAGGAGATTTGAGCCCTGTAATGCTTCAGGAAATATTTCACAACACTTAAATTGAAAATTTCAAAATTTAAAGGATTTGTATGGAAAACCATGTCAGTATGACTGGGTGGCAAAAGTTGTTTTTCTCATACAAATGCTTCTCACTTTTAGTGGCTGTTCCAGTCAGGTTACCTAATTTTAATGTGCTTGTTCAGCTTGTGTTAACAAATTTTTCAAAAAGTGAACTGTTTTCATGGTTACCAAAAATTGATCATGTGATCAATTCATGCAAAGAGCCCATATTAATAATTCCCTCCAACCAAGTGAAGAGATTAGAAAAAGAGGAAAAAATCACAGTCAGGGAGCTGATGAGAAATCAAAATAAAGCCTGTTAAAAACCAAGTGGAAGGGTCACAATTGGTTTTAGTTTTGATTCTGGTTGATTGAGAAAGTACAGTGTGTAGCCCAGATTTTCTGCAGCAATCAAATAGAGGGTACATATAAAGCAAAAGCAAAGCTATCCCTAATTACTTTCAACACCTAACTGAAAATTGCTCTCATTTAATTAATCCTCGATGCTGAGAATTAATTTCTAGATTTCAGTATTCATTTTATCTATTTTTTTAACAATGTTATATGTGCATGTGTGACATAACGAATAAAATTACTTTTGAAGTTAACCGTCTGAGAAACAGCATTATGTTAGATGTTAAAAAATCAGAAAGAATCGCCAAGAGTGTTAACACACAAGCGTTATAATACAAGTGAAAACCAATTATTTTTAAGCAATGATTGTTGGTATAATCATCCCTACAAAGGTGGTGCCCTAACATCAATTTTTTTTTCAGCTGATTTTTTTTTTTTAATTTTGCTCAAAAAGGACTTCAGACCTAGGGGAGTGAGAGACACAAAAAGTAGGGCCCCTATTTTCATTAGCCTCACACCAAGAGGTATAGAGAAAATAGTAATTGGTTGCTTGTCAAAATGGAATGGTTTCTTTTTGAGTGTTCAACCTGATACAGTTGGACCTCAGTATCAAGTGGCATCATATTAGGTGGTCATCCTGTATCAATCAAGCAGTCATTTGTGTTTAAACGATTGTAGTTTTCACCTCTATTAAGCAGTCACATCTATTATGTGGACATGGTCACCTTTGAGTGAGTCCCATTATGGCCTGTTCGTATTCTTGAACAGGTTTTTGCACATATAGAACTCAACTATGACATTAAGTGGTTAACTGTGCCCATAAAATGGTGCTTTTTCATGGCTATTGACATTATGTCTATTCTGTGGAACCCATATAAAGCAGTCAACCTGTATTTAGTGGTAATCCTGCCATGTCACATATTGGTGACTGCTTAATTCAGGTTTAAATGTATCTCGCTTAAGTTTGCTGTGCTCACTCCTGAGCTACCGTGTTAAATGCTCAAAGAGAAATTTCTTAGCTGCTTAATTGCACCCATTTTTAATTCCCTATTTGTCACTGTGATATCAGAACTACACGTGGTTACTTTCAGGGAATTTGGGTGACATATACTGTCCTCATGGATCAAGTCTTATTTTTTTATTGATCAAGTGGTGAATCCTACATTGAAGCTCTTTCACATAATTTTTTTGTTTGCCACACATAGCATCTTTAGCTTTTTTTGCAGTCCTGAAATGGTACTAAGGAAACTTGGGTAATACAACTACAGAAAAGTAAAGTATATCAATAAAAACTACAAATAATTGGATGAGTCATGCACAACAACTTTAATGGTCATTTAAGAGCATCAAGTCAAATTAATTAGATAAATTTGTTAGAAGGGATGCTAAGGCTTTTTTAAAAGTCTAATTAGATTTATAAGCTAGAATCCGAAAACATAACTGGATAACTATGTGTAACAGTTGTGGTGAGCTGCTTTTAACTCATTAAATCACAGCAGTGACCAAGATAGATTCTCTCCTTACAATAGCAACACAATATCAAGCAAACAAGTGATAAGGAAGGAGAAAAATATCAATTTGAGGATCATAAGTTGATCCAAACCCAAATTCTCCAAACTTCCATCAAGAGAATTGTATGGCAGACAGTAAGGAGAATTACTAAAGAGATCTTGGGAGTGAAAGGGTGAAGTCAGCTGCACTTTTAAGCTTACCTAGGACTTGCACTTGAATTGCACGTTTCCAACGTTCATTATTGAGGGTAAGTACCTCACAGGTGAATTCTCCATTAGCCTTATCATCAGCAAAAATGACGTGAGAGATAGACAGAGAAGCGGTTTGTTTGGTCGAACTTAATACGCTGAACCGTTCAGTAAAATTAGCAGAAACATCACCAGCTTTTCCATCAGACTTAATGCTGACTATAGTAGCACCTTTAAATGTTATGAGAGTCGCAACAATATCTGATGTCAGACTGTAGTTCCACTGCAGCACAGCAGAAGATCCTTCATAAACCTGTAATTTGCCAGGGGGGAGAACTTCATTTTGATCCGATGTTGTCTTGGCCGGAGTGGGTTCATACCATGTGACACTTCCGCCATCTGGAAGAGAATATTTTCGATTGCAGTTTTATAACGATTTAATTCTGCTTGCGATTTCATCAAAACAAGAATACAGTAGCTTTCCGCTGATTTTGAATTAAAACACCTCGAACATTCTAAAAAGCACAACAATCTGCTGCTGTCAAAATCATCTAAATAAATTACATGATAAGATGAACCGGTTTCTAAGACAAAAGAAGAAAGTAAGTACCCAAAATATTGGAAAAAATGCTTGTTAATTGCGATACCTGTGAGTTGAGGTACGAGGAAAATCCATACAACGATAGCTTTCAATTGGCAAATCATTTTAAAAACGTCCTTAATGCCCAGCGATAAATATGCTTAGCCTGATGAACACACCATCGCTTAATCGAGCGATGAAGAAAGTACACAGGAAAAAAGGTGGAACTAACACGAGTGCTGATTGGTTATTGAATAATAATGAATTAAAGACAGCGGCTCTGATTGGTTTAAAACTAATAAGACTAAGTATGAAAGGCCTCAAAAGCGGAAAGATCCTTAGGGTTTAGGCTGTGAAATTTACTTTCAGTTTCGGCTATGAAGATTTGTAGGCGTTTAAGCAAATATGTTTCCAGACTACTTGTTTCAGATCCTGTTTATTTTCTCGTTGATAATTATCTGGATCGTAAATAACGAAGCTCTTGGCGTGGCAACAGTCTACAGGTCCAATTCATTTAGCCAAGCCTAAAAGCGGAGCTCCAGTAAATTATTTTCTTGCCCCTCACTTTATTAAAAATGCTCAGCACTGGCTGTCGAAGAGGTTATTTAGGGGACTTAGGATCAGTCTGCGTGGGAGAGGGGAGGGAGGAACTGAAGGAGTCTGGGACCGAGGTACAATGTTCCCACACAACACGATATCCCCCTAAAAAATTAAAGCATGGAGTATAGGTGGCCATATCAGTCAAAAGTGGTTTGAGTTCATGACTGATGATCAAGAAATCGATCGCTATGGTTGAGTTTATCGATCAGTGATTGAAAATGTCGATCGCTGTAATTGAGATTATCGATTGGTGATTGAGATTCTCGATCGCTATGGTTGAGACTGATTGAGAATGATGGTCGCTTTAGTCCAAACAGCAATTGAATACCAAGACTGATTGCTATGATCGATATAAAGATTGGTGTCTGAAAACGATTGTCCAGAGATTGACGATCTAGAAGATAAACACGTACCGCTAGCCCCAACGCCATGATCGAGAGATCGACTTGCAGCTAAGGATGGGTAGATACCGATACCAAATATTCGATACCAGCGAAGAGTATCGATTCTTTCGATACTGCACGTGAGCCGACCACTCGAATTTCGGCCGATCACAGAATTCCTTCAAATTTTTACTGTGAGATATTTGATCTATTCTATCGGCATAAATTGTATTTATTTGGTTCGTAATGCTATTTTATCAAATTTTGGCAACGGGATGTGAGGACGGTCAAAAACAATTAAAATTGTTTATTTCAGCGCTAACTTTCAGCGTTTCGCTGGAGGCTCTAAAAGCTCACGCATTAGTTCAAATAGCATAAATCTATGAGGGCCCGTTCTGGTCAAAATGGTGCCTATAATTTTTAACTGTGCATAAATTAATTTTACACATTGATAGAATTAGTATTTTGCATTTCTAAAATATTTCATTTAACCGCCAAATTAATTTTACCATTCCTATTAATTATATTTTTAGAACACAAATATTTTGTGTGTTTGTAATTAATTGTGTGTGTGTTTGGAATTAATTTTGTGTGTGTTTGTAATTAATTTTGTGTGTGTTTGGAATTAATTTTGTATGTTTCTCAAAATCCTTTTACCCATAACACCTTGCGGTAGTTCTCTACCTGTGCTGCCAAACAAAGATGGCGACGGCCCCTTCGATTCCCGAGCAAGTAAAAGAAATCGCACAAGCTGCAATAGATAGTATTAATCAGCTAAGCTCGTTAATTGAGCACGCACCGTCAACGACAAGATTTTCTAGCAACGAACGTCAACCAATAACATCGGAGACGACTTTCGTTCGCCAAACCCAGCCAGCTAATAGCGCACTAACAGAATTGCAGAGGAGGTTTCCGACAGTNNNTATTAGCACAAGATTACTATTTTGTTGGAGTGATGATGGCAGTTGCCATGCTTCAAAATGGACAGTTGCCTGTATTTGTAGAAGAAATCATTCTGCAGCAAATTGTTTCTTTAGGAGAGTGTTTTGACCCTTGTGTTTGTCAAATTAGGCATGGACTAGAAGAGCTTGGAATGTTGTCAGCTCTTCAGGAACTGCCAATGTTGGTTCATCTCCTCAGACCCCAAGCACAAGGCAAGTTGAGTGTACAAATGTTACTTCAGATTTTGAAGCCTAACTCTTCAGATGAGGGTTCTTTACCCTGAAAAAGGAAAAATAAGTTTATCAACTCTTTGTCAAGTATATTCGAGAAGTGGCAGCTTCTACGAGGGTGTGTGGGCAGACTACCCTTAATTTGAGTCAGCTTATAGAAGGGTGTGTCGGCAGACTACCCTTAATTTGAGTCACATACTTCAATTTGCAACTGGTACAGCACAGCCACCTGTCCTTGGTTTCGGCCTTGCACCATCACTGGAGTTTATACTACCCACAGAATTCGTGAAAGTTGCAAGTCAGGAAGGACTGAATGATGAGCAGAAGAAAGGGGAGAGTGATAAGCAGCAGGAAGATCAAAGGGAAGAGCAGCACCCACCGGTGGAGGGTGGCTTCCTCCCTTTAGCTCATACCTGTACCAACTTGCTTGAGATTCGAAGACCAACTAAGAAAGTTCCTCTGTCTCCTAGGGATAGATTATTTGCTCTGTATGACTTAGCATTTTCACAGTGTTATTTTGGCAAGAAGTAACTGGCCTGCAGTCTGTTGTTGATGTTGCCAGTTTTGACTTTAAAGTTGTAAGACTGCTAATGAGGTGCTGTTTTCCTTGACAAACATTGAGTTATGCAGGTTGAGTTCTTTTGGTCTTCATGGGTTTTTTTCAAATATATATTGATGGGTCTATATACATGCAATGTTGTCTTTCTTGTTGCCAGTTTGAGTTGTTAGGTTTGATTGATCTCAGTGTAATAATTACTGAAACTGAATGACGTTATTCATTTTATGTTGCTGTTAATAGAAGTAAATAACTAAATTAATGCAATAAATCAGGTCTGAGTTTTCTATGACTGGTACTGTTATAATTTACGGATGAAAGCAATGATCTATCAAAATCAATTTAACAGAGCATCACCACTCAATTTTGTTGAAATCTATACCAGGGAAAGCCTGTGACTAGGGATAGTTAAACTTAATATTCCAATGATATAGATCGATTCTATCTATGATTTATAGATCTATCTATCTATGAACGATGTCGATAGCAAAAAAAGAGAAAGATATTAACAAAGTGAAGCATAAGTATGATGCAGATCCTTCGCAGTAGATAGCGCTATTAATGTAATAGCGAAAATCAGACATGAAAAAATCAGTCCTGTACGGGATTCGAACCACTGACCTCTGCGATACTAGTGCAGCGCTCTACCAATTGAGCTAACAAGCCGACTGGGAGCAGGCCGTTAAGTTGATTCGTAATAAACCCGTGACGATAAATCAGATAACGTCAATGAATATATGAAGTTCATATATTTTGAACTGCGGTATTAAATAGGTATGATGCACGATCCTTCGCAGTAGATAGCGCTATTTATGCAATAGCGAAAATCAGACCTGAAAAAAATCAGGCCTGTACGGGATTCGAACCACTGACCTCTGCGATACTAGTGCAGCGCTCTACCAATTGAGCTAACAAGCCAACTGGGAG